AGGATGTCAACAAAATTTTCATCTTCTGACAATGTTCTTCCCATCTTAAAGTTTTTATTATCCAAAGAGGGAGGTGGTTTGAAGAACACTTGACTACTCATTTCCTTGATCGTTTTAGTTTCTGAGGGACCGGGGTCGGATTTCTGCTCCTTTACAGAAACAGACTTTTCAATCCTAGTGACTTGCTTTCCTAGAGACTGCAGAAACGGGTTGGTGTAATTATTCTGCTGAATAACTGCGCCTATATCCTCTTTACTAGCTGTGCGAGAATTATTGGCGCTATCATCAAGGAAAGTGGTTTCTTTGTAGGGAGCCGCTATCATATCTTTCTGTTTAATTACCATCTCGGGTGGATGTACGGCTTTTACTGATTTCCCATCTTTGGAAGTGTAAGTCGAGAATGGGCTTCCTATCATCTCTATATGGCTCCTATATTCAGGAATGTCATATTTCTGAGCACACCAATCTAACCACGTAAAAAAGAAACAATTGAATTTCTTTTCTTTCATAAAGGCGGTATGGGCTTTCCAGAGATGATTTTGCCTATGCTCCTGAAAGGCTGTTTCAAACCAGATTCTTTTATTAATATTTTCAATACTCAGATAATTCCTTTTTATCTTTTCGTGTTCTATTTCGAAGGATTTTAACATATTTATTTCAAATTCTACATCCGAGAAGGAAGGCTCGGGTTGAGGTGGATTCATCCTAATTCCTGGGTTTGGAAGGGTTTGCTCAAACCTGTAGGCTGGCCTTTGTGTCTGTTCCTGGGTTCTCCTAAGTCCTGTCAAGATCATTCTGTCATGGTCTAGATCGTAAGCTATATCAGAGGAGGTGCTCGACCTATGGGGTTCTAGGTTGGATCTAGAGGGTGCTAGATCAATCCTAGAGGTACTCGACCTATGTGGTTCTAGGTTAGATCCAAAGGGCGCTAGATCAATCCTAGTTTTTCTAGCGTTGGAGAATTGTATTTCTACCTCTCCATCAGCGAATTGGGAGATCCGAGTAGGTTCTTGATTTTCAAGGGGCTTCTTTGGGACTATTTCATCCAAAATCCACTTTTCTGGTAGGGTTATATCACTCCACTTTATCATTTTTGGGACTGCTACGTTTGATTTTTCAAGGTTGGTTTGGAACAAGGTAGTTTCACCTTTGCTGTCTAAATCTTTAGCTTTGGGACAGACAGTGTTCATAACCTTATATGAAACCCTATAAATGATCGCTAGATTTTGGGATCCTGGGTCCATATCATAACCCTGAGTTTGAATATTTAATGTTAAAGCTTTTAAGACATTTACGTCGGAAAGTGCAACAGAAAAGTTTGGGAAACAGTTAAAGTATATCGGACCTTCCCCTAAGGTTGACTCAATTATTCCTAATAAGGAATCCGTGAACTTTCTATGTCTTTCATCTCTTACACAAATCAAGATTGAACTGGGCAATCCTGTTCTGGTAAGTGGTTTCACCGCTACCTGCACCAATCCTATGTGCAAATAGTTATAATTTCTCTCCAGATGCTGGTCGATTTGACTCTGGGTGAATAGCTGAAAACTATCTTTTTTATCAATGACAGATATCGTTTTTTCAACAGTTTTTATTGCGTAATCAGATCTGAACTTGAAAGATCCTTTATAGTATATATCAGTGATGGGTACTCTGGGTATATCCCAGTTGCACAACTCCTTTTCTACGTCCCGCATGATTATTTCTTGAGAGTTTTTAACTCGTAGGGTTCTATGGCTAGGACTGTTACTAGAGCTTGCTTCTCCAGAAGAACGGATAGACAAGATTCTCCTAAGGCTTGCCATTTTAAAATTCTGGATTTTATGCTTTCCTTCTGTTCTCCTCCTAATTCAAGGTTGCTAGTCCCTGCCTAGGTCTCTCAATGCCTTAGCTTAACGGGCAACGGCTAATGAGCCTATCTGACAGCTAGA